ACATGTCTGATTTTCGTAGGGACACATGAAAGTTTTGGCACAAAAACCACTAGGCTGGGAACCAGAAAAGATAGAAACTTGAGATTCTAGGAAGATGTTCCATGGCCAAGTGTCACCACACTGACTCGGTCTCACTCTTCATGTACGCCTGGAACCATGCACGGACGCACATGAAAGTTTCGGCGCGAAAATCTCGCAAGATGCGCAAGCAGAATGAAAAGTAATTATCGTCTGTTGCTGATATCATTAAAACAAAGACAGGCAAAGAACAGAAATCAAAGCTAAGTTTGAAAAATTTTTGCCTCAGATGTTCTAGGTATTTAAAAAACAATGTAAAAAAAAACAACACAAACTTACTTCAGCTTCAAGATAAGGGAATTCGGAGTGTAATCGATATCCAATAATAGGCCACCTTTTTCCAGTGATTTTGGACATTCTGGCAACAGCAAATGCTTTGTCGCCATATGTACTGGATAAATGTCGTGCAACCTAAAAATTATGTTCTTACATCGCTTTCAATTGTTAAAATATACACGATTTCGGTATTATTACTAGGTCTTGGAGTTATTAGTGCCACCATCAGTAGCATCATCAATATTATTATCGATTTCGCTATTATTCGAGAACAATTAAAATTACATAACGCCAATTTTCTTTTACGAGGAATGCAAGGAACTTTGCACTGCACAGTCCGATCCTGGAATCAGCGCCGGATCTACTGATACTATTGCAGAAACCAAACCTCACAATCAGTAAAAAAATTGTGCAGCAAAATTCTTTAAAGTTCTGAAACATTTTTCCAGTGTTCTGCACAATGTACAAAAAAAAACTTGCTGATTATGAGAACACTCACATCTTCATCTAAGCCATAGTCTTGCACAAGCTGAATGTGTAAAAGTGGATCCCAATTGTGCGCTCCCTCAAGCAGTAGGCCAGCGGTGGCGCACTGCCGTGCCGGTGTTAGATTTGCCACTTCTACTGCTTTGTCAACAGTTTCTTCGGCCATATGCCGGTATGTAGTCCACTTCCCACCTGCAAACTCATAAAATTTCCACACAAATATTTCACGAAGACACGCAAAGCGTTTCCATATGCAAAAAACTAGAAATATTCGAACCTGCGATCGTCACTAATCCACTTTTCGAAACTTCGATTATATGATTGCGCGCCAAAGACTTTGTGTCTTTCTTATTTGGATCTCTCACAAGCGGTCTTAGGCCTGACCAGGCACTCATTACATCGCCTCGTCGAACTGAAAAGCAGCGATTGATGCAGCGATCCACAGTGGAAAACTTGTGCATCAGCAAAGAGTTGCAGCAAAAGAAGCTTACCACACACATCGCTAGACAAGTAGTGTCTTATTTCTCGAAGAATGAATTCGATATCGACATCGCTTGGTGACGGATGGAACGTAACTGGCATTGGTGCATCAGTTGTTCCCGCTACTGTCATACGTTGCCATGGAAGAAAAAATATAACTCGGCCATCGCTTGTGGAAGGATCGAGAAGCCCCGTGGATGATGGACTGAAGCATATACACTGTGAACATGCACTTGAGCAAAATAACGATTATCAGGACAAAAAGGAGGACGCGGAATTAAAAATATTATTGCTTTGTCCAAGTAATTTATTACCCCAAATTCGCTCTATGTATAAAATTTTAATGAATGTGTCCACTTTTGACAACTATTAACTGATGTTATTTTCCAGGCTTTTTAATAGATTTTTTGAAAAATATGATAATTATCGAATAACCTGTAGTAACCGGGCAGCACAATATGAACTCCAGCAGAAGGCTGACATATCGGAGTGGTGTCCGGATCGGCCATCAAACGTACTGAGTCTGTAAATGGACCTGTCGCATTCACCACAACTTTAGCTTTCACGTTCCACTGGTCACCTGTTAGCTGAAATTTTACTGACATTTTGAGAGTCAAAAAAGAATGATTCCATGAAACAAACACCCATCAACTTTGCTGCAGTTGATACAAACCTAGCTAACGAAATATATCAAACTGTCGGCAGAACCTTCAGAATTACCGATGCAGATCTGTAAAGCAACTAAAACCCTTTCCTTCTTTATTCCTGTATTCCTCTTTTATTCGCTGTTGATCAATTGTACAAATGAAATCGCAACAGATCGTGTCGAACCCTTCTTTTAGTTTTCTATTATTTATTTGTAGACAGTTTGGTAAGTGAATTCGCGTGCCAACTATTTGGCAGAGTT